CGCTGCGACGCCTCCGGTGGCTCGACGGCCTGACGCGGCGTGTTACCGCCTGACGCGGCGTGTTACTGCCTGACGCGGCGTATTACCGCCTGACGCGGCGTGTTACTGCCTGACGCGGCGTGTTACCGCCTGACGCGGCGTGTTACCGGCTGACGCGGCGTATTACCGCCTGACGCGGCGTATTACCGGCTGTCAAGGCGTATTGACTGATGTTTTAATGTGCTTTTATTGTTTAATAAACTATTTTCTAAAGTCACATTTCCTTGATGGAAGGAAATAGTCCATCTGCCAATAACAGGCCTGTGGCATTACCACTTGCTGCCACTAGGTGTCCCTGGCCAGTTGACAGTAAAATACTGTTTTAAAACCAGAAGGTTATTAACATGTTTGAACCCTTTAACGAAGTGATTTACTTTGGTACTAATGGCCTAAATGGAGGCGGAGCCTCTGGTCTTTGTGTAAAAGTGACGTTATAAGAGTTTTAATGACGTTTATAATTAATAACGGCTCTTGCAGCCCCTTAACCTGGGAGCCGATCGGGCCGCCTACTGGCTGGAAGGCCGGACTGCCACGCTAGTGACCGGTGCCAGCAGAGCCTGACACCCTAGTGGCAGCATAGTTGTGGGTGCCACTGGCCTCTTATTGGCAGATGAACTACTTCCTGTCGTGTCAGCCTGACGACCCACCGGGACTGTCGCTACGCCGCCACTGCCATGAATTGAGCTCAGCCCTGCTGTGGTGTTCTGATGGCGGTTCGGGCCGGGCGGCCGGTTCCGTTCGGGCCGGGCGGCGGGCGGCCGGTTCCGTTCTGACCTTCTCCTCTGGTTCAGATTTCAGTGGAGGAGCTTCGAGCCGCAGCACCGGCGACCTGGACCAGGATCCGGACCGGGAGGTAGAAGCTGCCGTGTTCCTCTGATGATTTCTGGGAGCCGCCCCGCCCTGACTCTCTCTCTCTCTCTCTCTCTCTCTCTCTCTCTCTCCATGTGCTGCCGGTGTCGCTCGCCCAGCCGGACTCGGACTCCACCAAACACTCGACGCCCTCCAACAGCTCCAACCCCAGCAGCCCCCCCAGCCCAAACTCCCCCCACCGCAGCCAGCTGACCCTGGACAGTTTGGACTTGGAGCCCTGAGCCCCGCCCCCACACCGCTTTAGGCCCCGCCCCCCGCAGCGTTTGAGACTGTTTTTACCTTTGGGTTTTATGATGGTGGAGTGATTCTGCTGCTTTTAATTGGATGCTGGGAAGCCCCGCCCCTTCCTGGTTTTAGCGCTCGCTGAGGGACCAGTCACTTCCTGTTCTTCCTCCCCTCTCGCCGTTTAGCTTCGGCGTGGGTTAGCGGCGGGAGGTCTCACTCTGAGGGAAAAACACTGTATTAATTATTTTAACGTTTTGTTAAACTTGCACATCATCATCATCATTGTTGTTATTGTAGAAAATAATCTTTTATTTGTGATGATCTTTATCCCCCCCCCCTCCATCTCTAATCTGACTCCGCCCCCTGCTCCAGGTCGGACGGGGGCGGAGTCACATCTGGGCACTACTGCTTTTATTCTTCCAGAATCAGTTACAGATGTTTGTAATTATGAAATGTTTAGCAGCCAAAAACCACAATAAACGAAGCAGAGGACAGACTGAGTGTCAGTGGCTCACCTGGACACACCTGGACACACCTGGACACACCTGGACACACCTGGACACACCTGGACAGGGGGGAGGAGTCATAATCAGACTCTTCCTCTCTGCTTTCAAACACTAATAAACTTCAATGATTCATACGAGCCATCAGCTCCACAGAGACAAACCCTCCATTCGACCAGATTCCCACAGCATGACGCTGCCACTACCAGCTGTCAGTTCTCTGAAAAGGTTTAATGGAAAGCTTCAACTGAACAGTTAATTTAGTCAAAGCAGAGGCAGCATCAGAAGGATCTACAGGTTGGAGGGATAGAGCGGCTGCAGGTGGTTAGGATGATATTTCTCTCCAGTTCGTCACAGTCAGAGAAACAGGACTACACTGGAAAACAGGCCAAGCTCCAAGATCTAGAAAC